ACACACACACACACAGACAGAGAGAGACACACACACACACTGGAGGAGTGAACACTGACCACGATGTTATTACTAGGGTTGAGGACTGTGCTGATGGCCGTCGTGGGCGTTTCTACCGCATAATAACTGACCGCTGCTCACTGCTCAATTTAATGTAGTGAACTGAGGAAATACACACACACACAAACACACGCTGACACACACACACATGCGCACACACAAACACAAACACACACTCTCACACTCACACACACATGCGCACGCACAAACACACACACATGCGCACACACAAACAAAAACACACACACACGCACACACAAACACTCTCTCACACACACACACACACAACAAACAACTGAAGAGAGCCGATCACACTCACACTGAGCCATTATCTCATCATGTCACAGTAAATCCAGACAGACAGACTGAATCAGACACTGAGCATCTACAGCTGATGGACCTGCAGCGCATGCACGCACACACACACACACACACAGACAGAGAGAGACACACACACACACAGACAGAGAGAGACACACACACACACTGGAGGAGTGAACACTGACCACGATGTTATTACTAGGGTTGAGGACTGTGCTGATGGCCGTCGTGGGCGTTTCTACCGCATAATAACTGACCGCTGCTCACTCGACCAGACAAACAGTGACTGATGCTCCCGCTGTGGCCTCTGCTAGATCATTAGCATATGCTAATGAGACTCTGGTCTGCTCAAGGTCCAGCAGCAGATGTGGACAGAAACACACACACACACCTGCTGCGTCCGTCTGCTCCTCTGATCAGCTCACAGGTCAGGAGAACATCAGTCTGCACTGTTCTGATCAAGACACACGATTCAGTTTAACCTAATATATCATCATACCTAGTTAGGACAAGAAAATAAAGAGACAGCCTCATTCTCAAAAACTATGAGCACAACTACAGTAAACAAGGTTTAAAAAGCGTTTGGGATCATTGAGATTTTATAATGTTTTTGCCATCACAGGAATAAACTACATTATAAAATAATTTACAATAGAAAACATGGTAATAATATTTCACAATATTACTGTTTTAATGTTTTTCTGATCAATAAATGCAGTCTTGGTGAGCAGAACAGACTTCTTTCAAAAACATTAAAAATCTTAATTATTAACTGTTTTTGTTTATCATGATGCATGTGGTGAATTAACTGCATAAAAGCATCACAATTCAAAAGACATTTAAAAACAACAACACTTTACAATAAGATCTCATTTGTCATCAGTTAACTACGTCAGTTAACATGAACTAACAATAAACAGCATTTATTAATCTTAATCATGTTAATTTCACCATTTGCAAATACATTTTTAAAATCAAAAGTTAATCTGTTAACATCAGTTAAATGCAACTAGCATAATGCACAATTTTAAAATGTACTTTCATTATCAATAGCAATCGTTAGCTAATGCATTAATATTAACTAATAAGATCTTATTGTATAAAAACAAGCCTGTTGAGTTTTTCTTTGCGGCAATATGAATAAATAAACTTCATCCATCCATAGCTACTTTCATGCCAAGATCAATGCATTTTAGAAAGAAAAAATAGTAATAACATAGTAGTAGCCAACCAACTCACATCAATATCATAATGTATTAGTTATAAATGGAATTTTTTGATTTTGTTGTTCTTTTCCATGATACATTATGTTGGTACTTACTTTGGGCATGAAGTGGCGATCGATACCAGCATCAGTGCTTTGGATTCATGTGCGATGAAATCACAGATCTCACGGAGAACTTCATCCTCTCACAGCTCATTAAGATCTCATCTGAAGGGAGACTTAAACGAACCATTCACCCTAAAATCAGACTCATGAGATGATTCCTCTCCGTTCTGACAGACATCAATGAACCGAATCAACCACTGAGTCCACACAAAACCGTTAGAGGCTGTGATTAACTACCCATGCTATAACCAAACCTCTGCTGATTCACTGACATCAGTAAAGCAGTTCAGACACTTTATTAGGATTGTGAATGCAGCACATGGCAAATGCATGAAACTCCTCTAAACTCCAGAAGAATCAATTCAGTATCATCTAAATGGAAAACTGGAGATACGGCTGGGCAGGAGACAAGATATTTACTATATCATTTCATTGGCAATAAATAAACTAAATTGTGTAAATATTGCAATGGTTTAAATGCTTAATATTTGCTCGTAAACCTGCACGTATGCAAGCATCAAGACAGAGATGTCTGAACAGAGTCTTGAGTTTAAACTTGAAGAGCAAAAACACTGATCGAGTTCAGTTCATTTACACGAATCACTTCTGAACGCTCCATTTCAATGAATCGATTCAAAACAGTCAGATGATTCATCATTCAAAGATGTTCACTGAAGTCATGTGTGCCATTTAACAAGGTCAATATGATTATTTGAACTAAAGCTTCTTCTGGGAACAATGACTGTTTAGTTGAAAAGACAGTACTAAAGAACTGTCTCAGAGCAAATGCATAAATATTGGAGGTGAATATATATGTCATATATCGTTAAAAAGGCTTAAAAATATCACTTTTTTTAGGTCTGAGAAATGAATGACTTTGTGACTGATTTGCCCAGTTTTTCCAGCGCTGTAGATCCAGTGGGAATGATTCGATCACAGCAGGAGTTTTGGAATAAGGACACTAAAGTCTACATAAATTTAGATGCAATCATGCAAATCAATGTGCATTGAGAGTCCTTTACACACAAATCAGCTGTGCAAATGAGAAACAAAATCAGTCAAATCATTTCACTGATCTGCCAGCGTTTCAGCATCTCATTAAAGGCCAGAAACATTAAACATTTTAAGGGAGACGCTTGTACAAAATGCAAAGTGGAAGACAGAGATTGACACAAAACTACGCAAGTAAAAGAATTACATTTCACTTAATACTTTAAAAAATAAATAACTTTTTGCCATCTTCACAGTATAGTTACATCATCTCTCATGCATGATTTCCAGAGACAAACATCAGCTCTAATCCAAACCCTAGTGAGCGACCTCGCTGTCTACATAGGGATCTTCATTTAACCGTCATTAGAGATTGAAATGAACTGAAACAAACTCCACAATGGTCAGCTAACGGCTCAACATCATAATGAGCACAAAAATACATGAATCTAAAGGAATCTTTCCAAAAACTCTCCTCTTGAGTCACAAATGCTTCTAAAAATAAAGATTTGATAAACGTATGTTAATGAATTCCAATCATTCAGAAATAGGGTACACATGTACGTTCATTCACAATTAGCATAATCCTGCCCATAAATTACACCTATGCGAATGACATGTACACTATAGTATGTTCTGGTAATCAGATGCAAGATATTCCCCTGCTGGACGATAAAACTTGGAAAACTTGTTGTATTATTTCACAGTTTCTTGAGAAGATATAAACCCTAAAACGTTGTCTAGCTGGGCAGCTCACTGGGTTTAGGATCAGGGTTCATGTTTCTGCTTCTACCACCATTATACTACAAACACAGAACATCCGAGAACAAAACCCACAGAAGATCCTCAACCATCTCCAACACTTAGTGTGTGTGTGTCGTGGTTTGGGCTTGAGATGTTTCCTCAGATCTTTCCTTTATAAACTCTAATGATCTGTGGGCGGCTGCTAAATCTCAATACTGCTGCATAAGAATGAAGTAAAAGCCACTGTTAGAGAACCAGAGGCGAATTAACCGTCTGGGTTTTGACGTCACAGCTGCAGCACTCTGAAGTTGCCAAATTACCTTTGACTGCCAAAAACGCTGGAATTTTGGTTTTTACACGAATATCAGAGCTTTCATAATTTGCCAGTTGCCTGCAAAAAAGTCAGGTGCATCAGAATATTTCCCTACTATAAAACAGCATCTGAAATGAGTAGTATGTTCAAACTCGTAAAACAGTAGGCAAAAAGTACCTACTACTAGTGGACAGCTTACAATCCCATGAGTAGTTTTGAATGGCGGCAACATGAGGTAAAGTACGTCCAGATTGCATTCATACTACAGACAATAGCTATGTTTCCATCCAAAGATGCTAATTTAACTTATGCGCAAAACTGGAATATCGCATAAAACATTTGCGAATAAAGCACCGTTTCCATCCAACGATTTTAGAGGTGGATGCCTGCTGTTTGGGAACGCAGTCGTGTAAGACCGTAATTATACAGAAATACTTTGATGACAGACTTTTCTCAGGCATTTCAGAACGACCAGAACAACATATAGATGCTGTGAACGAGATCGGTCCGCTGGTTAGTCAAGTTATCCCGTCTCATAGCGCAAAGTCACATGACCTTTTCAATGCGCACGGTGGAATTTATTTGGTAAATGTGTTTCCATCATAGTTTATACGCATTTTTTCTTATCGGATAAAAAGTTTATCCTACTCAGTTGTGTGCATACGTTTTTTTAGAATTTATGCGCATCTTGGCGTTTCCATCCAGCATGTTTTTTTAATGCGATAATCCAAAATGCGCAAAAAAATAGGTGGATGGAAACATAGCTAATGATATAAGAACATAAAGAAAGTACATATTCCTCATCAAATGTAGTATTTAAACGCTATCAGATTTCGGATGCACTTCTTGTCTTGTTCAGTATTTTGACTTGTTTCCCAGTACAAGCATCAAAACATCCTTCGGGAAAAAAAATCAGTAGAACATAAATTTAGTTTATGCTTTAAACAATTTGCCAACAATTTTCTCTGAAAAACAAGTCTTATCCTCCACAGTGTCTCATTTCAAGGAAGATTAGATGCTTTTAGGAGAAAATGGTTTTCTCAAGCACAGCACTTGTAATGGCAATAATTTCAACATGACATGAACGCAGCATCGTACGCCACCTTTCTGCATTTGAACGCGTCACATGCTACACGCCCAGTGTCACCTAAAGATCGCTACACACTCAGGCTGGTGAGGTTGCTAGTCTGTTTTTGCTATGAATGAATGAGTTTCCTCAGTTCCTCATGTTCCAGAGCATTCTACGCTACTCCATGCATCTCTTCCGAGGCGTCCAGTGTAATGCCCTGAAGAAGAAAAGACACTGTGTTGCTGTGGCTGTGAGCTTGAGCTGGTCAGTAGCACAACAGGAAACAGATTTGTGTCATTTGAGATAAACATGGAGACGAGTTCACGGAAGAGACCAAACAGTGTCCCATACCTGGACTGAACCGTGCATTTCATCTGTTCTTACGACAGCCAGAACCTACAGTCTGGTTGCACGTCTTGGTGCCAACGAGGGATGCATCCCTCTCAGTTTCCTCACTTGTTGCTTCAGTCCAGGGATCGAATCCATAAAGGCACCTCCCATCTTTATTCCGGACCGCTAGACTCCCCAGTACTAAACTCCCAGTGCTGTTGCACTTCTTGGCCAATGGTGGCGCCAGCGAATCAGGCGGGTGCAGAGACGTCAAAGAGTAGCTACTCAGATTATCCGATAACTGTTCCGGATTACCAGCCTGACCGGGTCCTCCAGCCCTAACCCCGGATCCAGTGTCCTCATCGGAGGGGTCCTGTCGGATCCAGTTAGGATTTGTGCAGTCACTGTATCTGCTCCGATTCCTCTGGCACCCCCTGGTGGCCTGGAGGTTGAGCAGAGTCTGTGGTGTACAAGGTCTCTGGGTGAGTTCTGGAGGAGGAATGTGGGTTCTGCAGATCAGGGGTAGCGTAGAGATGCCCTCCTCCAGCATGGTCTGCAGGCTGCTCACCGAACTGCCCGTGGCCAGCGAGGAGCTACTCTGGGACGTCTGCAGCAAGAAACGACAAGAGAGTCAGGAAAGAGAAACAAACGTGGATCTGGACATGAGAGTGTTCAGTGACCCAGATCTGCAACTGCAAAGTTTCTGTCTGGGTGCACCAGTCCACCTGGAAATCAGGTTTACAAGGTACTGAGTTGAAAGTAAGCTTTTGAGGAAGAACTTGTCACTGGATTTGACATAGTTTTCCAGTGCAAAAGCCTCAAAGCTTCAAAAGACATTCTATGACTTTGAGCCAGTTAGTAGAAAGTAAACGAGATATCTACAAGCCCTCTGGTCTAAAGGTGGGCTCCCATCAAATTTCACTGGGGAAAAAAGATCCATCATCTATTGTCATGTTTAAATCACTGCTCACACTGAAGTCACTTTCAAGCAGCTTTCTGTTGGTCAGTGCGGCGAATCCGCATGACCAACTTGAACTTAAACAAACCTTTTCTGAACTCCCGATTGCGTGGAGTCCTATTGGAATAATTGGATTTCACTTGCAAAAATTTCACCAAGCAATGGTAAATATGACTGCACCTTAAGAGGATGATTGTTGGCCAGAATAAGCTGCAAACTGGAACTCACTTGATGCCTGAAGTCAAAGTCTGTCTACTCAAGACCCCTTCATCCTTTTGTTGGTTTCCAGACACTGGACTCTAAGTCCTGATTGAGTTTGAACGGTCATCTGTCATGTTCTACATGTGGCGTCTCTTACCTGAGAGCCCATGACCCTGCTGTTGGCCCCTGGGGACCTGAGAGAAGCCCATGAGGCCGGAGATGCGTGTCTGGAGCCCGGCGGTGCTGCTCCGATGGCTGGGCTGCCCTGTGGAATCGCAGCGGTGGTGGGGTGGAAGAACTCAGCCGGGAGATGAAAGAGAGGTGAAGACGTCTGACTGCCATCTGCCACACACAAACCGTCAGCCCATTTCAGCGGAACACAACAGGTGTTTTTACACCACAGCTTCTGTTGTGAGTTAGTTTAACTTTCATTTAGATGTGCAAAACTACATATGTTCAAACTGTGACTAGTTATGGGTTTGCATTAACACAGGGTTTTTCCATGCAACTATATACAGGTGCATCTCAATAAATTAGAATGTCGTGGAAAAGTTCATTTATTTCAGTAATTCAACTCAAATTGTGAAACTCGTGTATTAAATAAATTCAATGCACACAGACTGAAGTAGTTTAAGTCTTTGGTTCTTTTAATTGTGATGATTTTGGCTCACATTTAACAAAAACCCACCAACAAAAGTTTATCAAGACAAACTTTGATGTTGACTTGAGAAAGCCTAACTTGAAAGTTTTGGAGAAGCTCAAACTTTAATAGTTCAAACTTTAAAGGTTTTAAGGCCACCCAGTCTCTCACAACCAGACAGATAAATACATTTCTAGACAATTGCTACGATGTTCTGGGTGGTTGCTATGGAGTTGCTAGGGTGATATGGGTGGTTGCTGTGGTGTTCCAGCTAGTTGATAAGTGTGGTTTCAAGGGCACTGCTAGGTGGTTGCTAGGTTGTTCTAGGTGGTTGCTAAAGTGTTGCTAGTGGTTGCCTTGAAATTTTGGGTGGTTGCTTGGGTGTTGCTATAGAGTTTCTAGGGTGTTCATGGTGGTTGCCAGGGTGATCTGGATGGTTGCTAGGAGGCCGCTGTGGTGTTCTCGCTGATTGTAAGATGCTTACTAGGGTGTTCTGTGTGTTTTTTCTAAGTTTATCATGAGGTCGCTGTGGTGTTGCTAGGGTGTCCTGGATGGTTGACAGGCAGTTACTAGGGTGTACCGATGGCTACCTGTGTATTCTGGGTGGTTGCTATTGCATTGCTAGGGTGTTCAGGGTGTTTGCTAGGGTTATGTGTGTGGTTTCAAGGGCACTGCTAGGTGGTTTCCTGGACATTTTGCGTGGTTGCTTGGGTGTTGCTATGGAGTTTCTAGGGTGTGCTGGGTGGTTGCCAGGGTGATCTCAATGGCTCCTAGGAGGCTGCTGTGGTGTTCTGGCTGGTTGCAAGATGCTTACTAGGGTGTTCTGTGTTGATGTTAGAAATGTGCTATGTGGTCGCTGGGGTGTTGCTAGGGTGTCCTTGATGGTTGCTAGGGTGTTCTGGTGGTTACCTGGTTATTCTGGGTGGTTCTGTGTTGCTATGGGTTTATTAGGGTGTTGTAAGCGTTTCCTAAGGCATTGCTATGCAGTTGCTAGGTTATTTTGAGTAGTTGTTAGGGGAGTGCTGATTGTTGCTAAAGTCTTGCTAGGAGGTCACTATGGTGGTTGTTAGGACATTGCGGGATGCTTACTAAGGTGTTCTGTGTTGCTGTTTAAAAGTTGCTATGTGGTTGTTAGGGTGTTGCTATGCAGTTCCTAGGGCATTCTTGGTGATTGCAAGGCTGTTGCTAGGGTGATATGGGGATGGTTGCTAGGGTGTTTAGAAAAAGTCGGACGAATTAATGGAACAGAACACAGAACATAACTCGACACGGCCTCTTGAAGTGTAAGAACACATCTGAGGTAAAAGGCCCTTCAGCAAAACACACAGATGTCGCCTGACCTCCGCGGTGAGCTGGAGACTGGAGCTGATGATCCCGTCTGTCTCGCCCAGGACTGCAGGCCTCGCTCAGAGGATGAAATCTTCTGCACACAACCTTGTCTGTGCTCAGGTCATCGCTGCCCTGCTCCTCCTGTACAGACACACAGCGGTTCATGTGCATCTCCTCACACACATCACACTGTACCTACAGCAGTGTGACGCAGCATATTACAACCGAATCTGATTTGAGAGCTGAAGTGGAGGAGAGGATTTTCAATGAGTGTTCCAGTTCCTCACACAAAGCATCATATAATGATGAAGTATAGAAATATATCTCATAAATCTCACAGACTCTTTGGATGATACTTTTAGTCTATCCCCATTTATTTCATATGGACAAAAAGCAGCATGAACACAACTGCTAAATATCTTTTGTTTTCCACTGAAAGGAGTTGTTTCCCATTTTAAGAACAAGAAGCAAAAACCAAAGATATCCATTCACCAAAAAAGAAAAAAGAAAAAAAACAATAAATTAATAAATACCCAAAGAAACAGCATTTCCCTAACACACATAATAAATTTAAGAGGCTTTTATTTTTACATAGTTATAAACAATAGATAAAAAGAAACTCCTCTCAGGTCTTTGCCAAAACGCGTAGGGGAGTCTCTTTTTATCTTTTGTTTATAGGCATGTAAAAATAAAGACTTGTAAATGTATTAAATGTGTCATGGAAATATATATATATATTTTTTTTTTTTATCCTCCATAGAGTGCATTATAATAATTGCTTTTCACCACTGTAGTGCTCCCTAGCTACTGACGTTTTTAAATAAATTAATTTATAACAAATAGTGTACACAAAAGTAAATGACATGATATATGACATATATATGACAAGTGTACATCCACATTACAGCAAAATGTTATTTAATTTACACACGACCAAACCTGAACACAGCTTAATCATCTGTTTTCTATAAGATTGAATAAATACAAGTATTTGTGTGCCTCCCATTGTGCATTTAACTTGAATTATTCCCAGCAGACGTCTGTTTTAAAGCAGTGGGCGACTAATTCACTTCTTGATTTGCTTAATAAAAGCCTTTATGATTGTGTTGACAAACATGTTTATAGTGCATTATTTTCAAAGTGCTTATTGCAAAAATAGATGTAGCGCAGCCATTAAAAGTAATTTGCATGCAATGTATCATGCAACCTCATGCACTTGCTGCTGATCTATTTAAGTAAAATAACTTGAATGTAGTATGAATTTGTAGGTCTACTACAGAAAAGCTAAAATGCGTTTAAAAGTCTGACTGACCAAGTCGATTTTTCTTGGTTTGTCCCTAAAACGTTCAAACGTCAAGCTAAGTACAGGATGACAGATGATTTTCTTGACGTTTCTTGAAGTGTTCAGTGCATGCTTCTCCACACGAGTCTGACAGCAGAAGCGCCAGAGACACAGATAGAGTGAGAAGATCCTGCTGAGACGATCCCAAAGGAGCTTCACACATCCACCCGAGAGCCTCATTCACTTATCAGTTAAATAAGCATGTCAATAATGATTAATCAGAGCAGAGCAGGATGACTGTCACACAGCGCTGTCAGCTGGAGTGTTTTTAAACACACACACACACACCTTACAGTCCCTGTCCCGCAGCTGGTAGTCGCTGTGCTCGTCCAGGCTGATGTCATCAGGCAGCGCCAGTGAGGAGGATTTATCTGACAGCTGCTCCGACATCAGAGACGTTTGCTCGACCTCCGCCAGCCGGATCTACAAACACACAGCATCACCACAGGAAGCTGTCAAACACTGGTGCATGCAGAGATCTGAGCGCTCACTCACATGACCTGCTGCGCGCACACACACACACACTCTCACACACACACACACACACACACACTAGGGCTGCACGATAAATCGCATGCGATATTTAACGCGCATTTTATCAGTAAAGCTGCTTCTGTAATCAGCGGTAAATCTCCATCACGTGCGTGCTTTCACATCGAGCAGCATTAACTACACAGAGCCGTTGTTCACTGACAAGCTGCGCAAAACCACGTTCATATTCGTGCGATTTTTTGCGCAGCTCGTGCGCGTTTTATCATGCAGCCCTAACACACACTCACTCACATGACCTGCTGCGCGCACACACACACTCACACACACACACACACACACACACACACACTTACACACACACTCACTCACATA